GTGATTATGCTCCCCAACTTCAACCTCTACTACAAAGCCACAGTAATCAAGACAATTTGGTACTGGCACAAGAACAGACTCATAGACCAATGGAACCAACTATAGAGCCCTGATACAAACCCAACCATATATGGTCAATTAATATATGATAAAGGAGCCATGGATATACAATGGGGAAATGACAGCCTCTTCAACAGCTGGTATTGGCAAAACTGGACAGCTACATGCAACAGAATGAAACTGGATTATTGTTTAACCACATACACAAAAGTAAACTTGAAATGGATTAAAGACTTGAATGTAAGTCATGAAACCATAAAACTCTTAGAAGAAAACATATGCAAAAATCTCCTGAATATAAGCATGAGCAACTTCTTCCTCAGCGCATCTCCTCGAGCAAGGGAAACAAAAACAGAAATGAACTCATGGGACTACATCAAACTAAAAAGTTTCTGTATGGCAAAGGACACCATCAACAAACAAAAAGGCATCTTACAGTATGGGAGAATATATTTTTAAATGACATATCCAACAAGGGGTTAACATCCAAAATATACAAAGAACTTACATGCCTCACCATCCAAAAAGCAAATATCCCAATTAACAAATGGGCAAAGGATATGAAGAGACAGTTCTCAAAAAAAGAAATTCAGATGGCCAACAGACACATGAAAAGATGCTCCATATCACTAATCATCAGGGAAATGCAAATTAAAACCACAATGAGATATCACCTCACACCAGTAAGGATGGCCAGCATCGAAAACACTAAGAACAACAAATGCTGGCGAGGATGTGGAGAAAAGGGAACCCTCCTACACTGCTGGTGGGAATGTAAGCTAGTTCAACATTGTGGAAAGCAATATGGAGGTTCCTTAGAAAACTAAAAATAGAAATACCATTTGACTCGGGAATCCCACTCCTTGGAATTTACCCAAAGAATAAACTTCTCAGATTAAAAAAGACATATCCACCCTTATGTTTATCGCATCACTTTTTACAATAGCCAAGATATGGAGGCAACCTAAGTGTCCATCAGTAGATGAATCGATAAAGAAGATATGGTACATATACACAATGGAATACTATTCAGCCATAAGAAAGAAACAAATCCTACCATTTGCAACAACATGGATGGAGCTGGAGGACATTATGCTCAGTGAAATAAGCCAGGTGGAAAAAGACAAGTGCCAAATGATTTCCCTCATTTGTGGAGTATAACAACAAAGCAAAACTGAAGGAACAAAATAGTAGCAGACTCAGAGACTCCAAGAATGAACTAGTGGTTACCAAAGGAGAAGGGTGTGGGAGGGTGGGTGGGGAGGGTGAGAGAAGGGGATTGAGGGGTATTATGTTTAGTACACATGGTGTGGGGGATCACAGGGAGAACAGTGTAGCACAGAGAAGGCAAATAGTGTATCTGTGGCATCTTACTACACTGATGGACAGTGAGTGCATTGGGGTATGGGTGGGGACTTGATAATATGGGTAAATGTAGTAACCACATTGTTTTTTCATGTGAAACCTTCATAAGAGTGTATATCACTAATACCTTAATTAAAGAAAAAAGAAGTGGTATACATACACAATGGAATATTACTCAGCTATAAAAAGGAACAAAATTTTATCATTTGTAACAACATGGATGGCCCTAGAGGGTATTATACTAAATGAAGAAAGTCAGACAAAGACAAAATACCATATGATTTCACTTATATCTAAAACACAAGACAAATGAATAAGCAAAAGAAAACAGAAACCAATACAGAGAACAAATTATTGGTAGCCAGAGGGGAGGTAGGCAGAGAGATGGGTGAAACAGGTGAAGGGGATTAAGAAATACAAACTTCCAGTTATGAAATAAGTAAGTCATAGGGCTGTAAAGTACAACACAGGGAATATAGTGAATAATATAACAACTTTGTATGGTGACAGATGATAACTATACTAATGGTGGTAATCATTTTGTAATGTACATAAATCTTGAATCTCTACTTTGTATACCTGAAACTAATACAATGTTGTATGTCAACTATACTTCAATTAAAAATAAATTTTTTTAAATTTCACCTTGTGAAGAAAGTTAAAAATAAAAAATAAATAAAAAGAAGAGGAAGATAAGACTACACTGGGTGGGTGGGGCCGGGTCTTGAAGGGCCTTGTCAGGAATTTGGGTTTTAACACATGAGCAGCAAAAAGTAAGAGAACTTTGAGCAGACACATGACATGATCAGATGGACATCAAATTCCAACTCGGTCAGTTACAGAAGGAAGGAGTAGAGAAAGGTAGAGAAGCTAGAAGGGGGCAGAGAGATTAAAGTAAGAGGATGTGTTAGCATTTCAGAAGTATGGAGCACAGCATGTACTAATCGTGCATATCCTAAGCATTAAATTATTAGTAGCTGCTTTTATGCTTCTGCAAGCCCGGCATTGCCAGACACTGAGCATACAGCAGTGAACAAGAGAGTTAGAGGCCTGCCCTCATGAAATTTACAGTCTAGAGAAGAAAGATGTGGAATGAGTAATTTCTCCAAAACAGTGGCACCTGCAACTTCACGACACACAAGTACAAGGAAATTCTTTCTGTGTCTATTAAACAGCACTACTATCTTCCCAGTTTATTAGGTTCAAAAGCATAGGACTCAGTTTTGATTCCTCTATCACCCTTCCCCTATATCTACCATAGACAACATTTGCTAGCTCTATCCCCAAAATACAAATCTGAATACAAAATTTCAAATCTGGCCAGTTTTCACCATCTCCAAGGCTACAACCTGGTTCAAGCCACCATCTACCTTGCCTGGACTCCTGCAACAACCTCCCTAACCGGCTCCCTTACTTTCACTCCTGCCCTTTACATGCACATTTCCAAGAAGAGCAGCAGGGATCTTATCAGACCTTGCTGATCCCCCTGCTTAAAATGCAACAATCAGAATGACATACAACCTTCAAGGCACTGCATATTCTGGCACCGGCAACTACATGACACACAAGGACAAGGAAATCCTTTCTGTGTCTTGAATGTACCAAGCTTGTTTCTGCTCAGGGACTTTGTATTGGGGTCTCAGCTGCTCGGGAGGCTCTTGCCCTCACCCTCCCATGTCTGGCTTCTTCCCACCCATCAGCTCTCTGCTCAGGTGTCATCCGAGGGAGGCCTTCTCTGGCTGCTCTACCTCATTATCCCTGTCCCCCATCCTTCTATCCTGTTACCTTGTTTTATTTTCTTCATATTACTTTTTTCTCTTCTTCCTCCTTCCCTCCCTCCCTCCCTCCTTCCCTTCCTTTCTTTCTTTTTTAATCTCTACATATGAGGGGCAGGGCTTTGCTTTTTGGCTTCCATTTCCCGTGTGCCTTGAATGTCACTCAGCACACGGTAAACGCTCCATAAATCTTTATTGAAGTAATGACTGAGTGACTGAGTGAAGGAATTCTGATAAAGTGTGTGTGTGATCACAGAAGCCGTACTGCTGGGGCAATGTGGTGCCAGCTGCTCAACTGTGTATTGGAAAAGAGTCCCATCTGTCTGAGTTTTAAATTCAGTCCTGCCGGATAGCAAAAAGTTGGACTAGAATTTTCTCAGGATTCCTTCCAATCTGAGATTCTGGGATCCATGCCCTTTACCATGTCCTGAGGTGTCCTCCTTTCACCTGGCTCTTAGCAATACACAGAGTAAAGAGCTACTGCAGCCAAATGGTTGGTGAAATTGAGACATGGCCGTCATTCTTAACAGAGCAATCCATCGTTTTTTTAAAGGAGGCACCACCAAAATTTTATTCAGGCTATTTTGTAGCTGACAAATAAGAATAATTCCCATTTGTAGTACACCTACTACATTCCCTCCATCTTGGATGTCTCTTAGCTAATTTTTCCACCAGCTCTGCAGAGTAGGTATTATCCTTCTCATCTTGCCTATAAGGAACCTGGGGCCCAGAGAAGCCTTCTGACTTGCTCAAGGTCACAAAGCTGGTAAAGCTGGGAGCTGGGATTCAAACCCAATCTGTCTGCGCTGGTTCAACAACAATCTAGAGGTCAACCCCTTAAAGCAGGGGGTAGTGTTGCTATTGACTTAGCTAATGCTAATTTAGGGAAACAATCCTGAGATAAAGCGATAGAAGATTCTGTAATTAGCCTGCTGGGCAGCAGGGATGGTGAGTTTTGTGTACAGCAGATCAGAGCTTCATGGCTTCTGGAGATTCAAGGGCAGGACTGTAGGGGCTTTGGAGAAAAATATTTGCAAAGACATGAAGGGTTTCTCTGGACTGTGCCAGGGGCAGCGATATCCTCACAGTGAAGGGAACTGCTGGGGAGCACCAACGAGGAAGAGCATGTAGGGAAACAAGGGACCAGAAAGGGCCTGGACAGAGGACAGATGGGTGTGGGGCTGGGCGTGGAGAGAAAGGGAAGAGCAGTAAATGCGTCCACAACAGGGGACTTGGAAGAAGGGTTTTGTAGCCCTGGCCCTTCTCCCAGAACGTTCTTCACGGTATCCCTGGCTGAGGTGCCCTATCATTCTACTGAGAATCTTTCATTGAGAAGAGAACTTAGCTGAGCAGGAGGGGTGACTTTCATGGGTAACTGCCGCTGAAATCTCACCAAATCCTTAAGGGTCACCTCCTCAGAGAAGCCTTCTCCGATCTCTCAACTGACCATCCCCACCATCATTATTCTCTGTTACTGTAGCTGAGTACTTTTCTCAGTAACATTGCTCAATGTGTAATTACATATTTATTAATTTTCATATTCATTATCTGACTTCCCCCTAGGGCAGAGACCATCTTTGTTTTACTACCAGATGTGTATTCAGAACCTAGAACAGTGCTGGTGCGAGGCGGATGACACAGCCATTCGTCGAGTGACTGAAAGAGTGCGTGGTGTCCAGGTGGCTGATTATTGGGTGGTCTTTGTGGCATGTAAATAAATTAGAGTGTGCTCATCCTCCTCAACATTTGCATTAAGATAAAATCAGATTGGAGTCAATGACAAGGATAGGTTCAAAGGGGAAATAATGACCACTCCCCAAGAGGTGTCAGGGCGTCCTTTACCCAGTGAGGTGAAGGGAATTCAGGGCTGTTTTTATGAAAATGAACCTAGACTTATCCCCAACTCTCTCTTCCCCGACACCAGGCCCCAGTCAGCACCTGGCTGGGGACAGAACACGGTGGGGCGGTCATCCTGGGGCTTGCCCCACTTTGTGCTGCCAGGAAACTCCAGCTGGCTCCCATCAGCTATACGCTGGTGGCTGGCAAGATAGAAGGAAGCAAGCTGTAGATAGTCCGCCAGTTACCAGGCTTGAAGTAGAGGCTAAGGGAAACCAGCTGGTACTGGGTTAGAGACAATTGTTTGCCATCTTATAAGCAAGTGTTGGGGGTGGGGTGGGCAGATTATTTCTTAACAGATTGAAAAACAGGGCATGCATGGTATTTCGGTCCTCCTTTGGCCTTGCTGATGGTTCTTGAGGACTGGTTGACCTGGTTCTTTTAAGGGGACTTTGAAATGTAGATAAGGACACAGTAGTGGAACAGATGGATGCCCTTCCTACCCGTTGCCTACCCATTATTCTTGATGCCATCTTTTGTTTATGAACTGTGAGGCCTATAACAAATGTCTTTAGGGAAAATAAATGGAGCCAGGAGACTCCTCACTAAGGCCTTAGCAAGACACACCACAGTCCAGACGGGGCTTCTGCTTGGGATTTCTAAATGGTATGAATCTGAGAAGGAAAACAAAGTTATCGCTGTTCCCATGAGCCTTCATATCAGAGATGTTTATGTCCTGGGTCTGCACACAGAGAGATGTGGTCATTTTTTCCCACCAACATGAGGGCGTCAGGTGGCCTTGGTTTGCTCTCACATTTCCTCCCTTTTATTTTTCTAGAAAGAAAATGATGACAATTAATCACCTCCCAATTTCTGGGCACTGTACTAGGCATATTTTCCAAAGTTGTCTCCCTTCATTTGCATTAAAACATTTCAGGAGAGATGATTATTCCTTTTATATACATGAGAAGATGGAGATTTGGAAAAGTAGAATAAATTTACTGAGCCCTCTCAGCTAAGAGACTGAGTCAGAATTTGAGCCCAAGGTGTCTGGCTCCTAACCTTGTGTGTTCTTCCTATCCAGGGTCCACGGAGAACAAGAATGCTGGAACAAATTACAGGGTGACTCGACTGTATTGCTTAACAGTATGAATCTAACTCTTAAGATTGTTTGGTGTGTCTGCTTTTCTGGGGAGAGACAGGAGGGGAAGGAGGGCAGTGTGAAAAGATTTTTTTGGCTGGGATTCAATCTTCTCTGTCCCATTGGGACAGTCCAAGCCTGTCTAAATGGGCCACCTTGTTACTGCAGCATTGGAGAAAAGGTGATTTCAGTAGATACTAATCCCAGCTTGGACCAGAACTTCCATCCAGGGTAGCTGACAACTCTTACTGGATAAGAGCCACACTTTTCCAGCCCTGTCCAGGAATACTGGAAATAAAAGCTCCAATAAAATGAAAGTTAGCCTGCATTGTTTGTCTCCCGCCCTAAACCAAGGGCAGTCAGTAAGACAGAAACCCCAGAGCAGTAACTTGTCTTAGTCACCCCAACCTCTCCCCAGCTGTTCCTTCTGTAGAAAACGAGCCTGAGACTCTGCCTGCTGGGATGGAGCATGAGCTTCACCGGCCTTCATCAACCCAGCTCCAGGAAGCTTGCTGCTTCCTTATTTGAGATGTTTTATTAAACTGTAATCACACTGTGAGTGGAGCCAGCCAAAGCAGTGGCTATTAATAGGGAGGTGAAGAAAGCTGACTCAGGAGGAAGCTGACTTAGGCTGGAGGGGAGAGCCTGGCCGCCTTGGCTTGCGATCCTCGGCAAGAGGTCAGCGAGAGAGACCCGAGCTCATTTCATTCCTGGGCTGGAGTCAGCACTATCTGGATTTCCCAACTTTGGAAATAGAAACCTGAAGCAGTCCCAGTCAAAGGAATACACAACTCTCTTTCCCAGGTCCTCGGGAGACTCAGAGCCCTAAGTACAAATAGCTCAAGTAGCTATGACCCAGCAGAGCAGCGACTCCCCCCTTCACAATGTCATCAGTTAACAGGACTTGGAAAGGAGCACTGGGTCTACATTTCTGTGGCCTCCCTGAACTAAGAAGCCAGTGCTGAGCCAGCCCTTAGCTGGCCAGAGCTCCCCTTGGCAGAGATGTCACAGTAGGGAGATTCTATTTCTGGCTCCTTGATAAGACTTGGGGAAGTGGGTGTTACAGAAAGGTGGAAACAGAGAGGCGAAGGTCCACAGCAAACGCAGGGCATAGTGCACAAGGGCCTGATATGTGGGAGAGTTTTTAGTAATTTCTATAAACACATTGCATTTCTAGGGAGTTAAGTCTCCATCCATTTGGTAGATTCACCATCATCTGGCAGTGAGAAATAGGATAGATTCCCAAATCTGGCCAATGTTATGCCATAGGAAAAATAGAACTGCCCCTGGAAGCTGGGTTCCTAGTCTCCCTGCACACCAGGCACTGAGCACATGTTCTACATTTGCTGCTGCATCTAGTCCTCAACAATCCCCACAGGTGGGTTTCATTGCCTGTCTTCTCCGGGAGAAAACGTGAGATTCGAAAGGTAAAGTGACTAGGTCACACAGCTAGCAGGGGACAAAGCCAGGACTAAAACCCTGGTCTGTCTGAGGCCGGAGGAACAGCTGGGCCATAGTGAGCTGCCTCTGTGCCTGGGCCTCATCCCCATCTTCTCAGTTTCCCCTGTGGAGACCAGTGGTGCCTCTCTCCATTGTGGCTCCAGTACCCACACTGAGGTCGGGGTGAGGAAGGTCAGTGTGTGGTCCACTGGGAGGTGCGGAGATGCTGGAGTGGTATGCTGCCATCCTGTCACCTCTCTTTCAGGTAGTTAGGCATGCTGAGGTATGTCTCCTCCAAGTGGAAGACTCATTTTGCTTCCTGGATCTCTGAAGACAGATGTTCGGATGAAGATAGGATACAGGTTTTTTTCCCCCTTCCTTCCTTCCTTCCTAAAAATATTTATTAAGCACCTATTGGGCTCAGTTCTGGGTGGCCTGGGCACTTTCAAACGATAGAAGAATTTAATGACTCTGTTGAACTGATATTTTTCTCCACAGTTTTTCATATATCCTAGCAACTATCCCATGTGCACGTCTCCATAGGGTTACACAGGTGTCATAATCTACCTACTTACATGTATCTATAAAATACCCTTTTGCTGAAAAGAAAGAAGGATTTTCCTTCCACTGATTGTCATATGGGTCACTTCCTGAAACTGAAAGAGATCCTGGGACCTCAGACACCAGGTCCTAAGCTCTAGCAAGTACATGAGGGAAGAGTTTCAGCCCCCAGCTGTCAGGGGACCCCAAATACGGAGGCGGTACCACGCCAGGCTTATGGGGATTTGTTCATCATCATTGAGCCATATTATAGCCCATTTTGAGAGGGCTGGAGAATATTCTCCAAGCCCTTAGCTAGTAGATAATCTGAGCTATTGTTTTTGAGTCTTAATGTATTTTTTTGGTCAATTCTTTATTCTTCCTTTTTTGAAAGGCAAACAAATAGCCTAACAGGACGGGGGCAGCATCCAGGTTCCGACAGCTGCCTCCTCTTGCTGTAGGCAAAGTGAATTAATCCCCACTGTCCGTTGACCTAGGTCATCTGCAGGTCTGTGCTGCGGCCTGGCCTGGTGTCAGGGGAAGGCATTGCTCACCTGGCTCTTGGTGTGCTTCCCTGAGTGCGGGGAGGGGCACGGGGGTATGTTTCACCTTCGTGTGGGATTGGTTCTCTTTTCCTCCAGGGAGGTGATCATTTTCAAATCTGTGGGTGGGGAGGAAAATCTTCTCTTCCAAAAATAATCTTTTCTGCAGTGGGGTTTGAAGCTGGACCAAACTGCTAATGCTATTTTTATCCAGCTTGCAGTTCAGGGTGTAAATAGCAACTCTGGCTGTTTTCTCCGACAGCTGACAACAGAGTCAGCCTCTCGAGGCAGAGGCATCCTGGCATTTTGCACAGAGAAAACAGAACAAAGGTCACCCTCGGCTCAGGGGATGATGCCTTGGCCACCAGGTCGGTACACAAGCAGGGGTGGCATCTCCATGGTTCTGTTATCTTGGTCTCTGCTATAAACACCAGGCCCCATGCTAGCTGCTTGGCGGAGGCTGAGTTAAAAAAGCTCGATGTGGAATCATGAGGTAAGAGCAGGCCCATAAATCTGTGCAGGAGCAGGCTGGGGGCTCCAGGAGCTTGAGCAGCTCCAGGCTCCCGCTGGCCGCCCTTCTCGCCTGCCCTCTTGCACTAGCAAGCGCTCCCTCCAAGGTCGCCCTTGGAAGGTCTCTTGCCCCAATCCCACCAGATTGGGAGCTAAAAATCCACTCAAGGCTGCCCAGATGACAGAGCATCTCTCAAAATTTATGCCTCCTGGTTCTCAAGTGATTGGAGGACCTACAGTCTTCAGTTTGGGGGAGGATCATTTAGAGGTCATGGGGAAAGGACTGGGTCTCTCCACCCTGAACCAGAGCCAAAGCTGTAATAGACTAACCAAAGCTTTGGGTTGTGTCTCCAACTGGCTTGGGGTAAAGTAAGGTGGAAATTTCAGCTTCACAGAGGGTCCCTGATGAACACGGATAAACCAGCAGAGACTGAGACGTGCCCATCACAGCTGGCAATTCCCTATTGCTTCTTTCTGGGGAACAACAGACTTCAGTGGTTTTTCCCTGAGGCCAAGTTTCCTATCCAAATCCCTCCATGGGGTCTTTGGTCTGAAATTAGAAAGGCATTATGAGTCAGCAGGAAAATCGCTCTTCATTATGGATCACACAGCAATTCCTCCTGGAGTCTCCCCTTCCCTTTCTCTTGGTACTCAACAGTCAATCATCAGTCATTCCGAGAATTCCTCAAAATATCTACCACACACTCAGGAAGGGGCATTTAGGCAATTGGTTCAGGCTTCAGACTCATCTAGCAGATGATGTGTGGAGTAAGAAAAGGTTTGGAGGACAGGCAAACAGCTGCGTAATCCCCAGATCTGCTTTTTTGGCAGTGTTCTTTTCTGTGCAGTTCCTTGAAATTGATTCTGGGCAGCTGTTACTGCAAACCTCACTGCCAATTATCAATAGCTGAAGTGGCATTGGAGAGCTTCTGATGCTAAAATTAGGGGCATGTAATAAATGAGAAAAAAGCTTTGCATTTTAGAAGAAAGAATGGGGACATATTGTCTCAATCCGCTATGCCATGGGTTTCCATTGTAAGCTTGGGTTCTGTCCCAGGCCAGGCCAGGCAGACCTAAGGGGCCTCCAGCAAAAACACCCGGGAGCTGCACAGGATGAGAGCAAAGCTTTGTCTTAACAGACAGACCTGAGGAGATTCATGCTGGGTTTAGGGCATCCTGATTCTCACTGTGCTCGGTCACTTTCAAGAGCCAATACCACAGTTTTCAATAAGTCCTGTTGTATTTTAAACATACTGTTGGCTAATTCAGTTGGTCTGGTAATTTGTTTTTCATCAAACTTCAAATTTATAAAACAATGGCTTTTTGGGAAAGACTCTTGAAGGTTCTATGGTAAATGTTTACCTTAAAAAAAAAAAAATAACTGAAGCAGGAAAAAGTGTCCTGGTAAGTAAAACCAAAAGGGCACGTGCAGACAGTCCCACTGCTAGACCGACCATTCGTTACTGAAAAGTGCTCGAGCCCCAGCCTTGACATTGGGCAAACTGGGAATGTGGCAACAGACTTTCTTTCTAGTATTTGCCTCCATTTCCTGGAATCCAATTTGAAGTGCGTTTTCCCCTGCATCACCAAGGAGTTAAACTTTGGCTTTGCTTTCCTAGTGACTAATAAGCACCGTGTGGCTCTGAGATCATCGAGAAAGACACTGACAATCGGCAGCGTGGGAAGTGAGACTTCAGTGCTCTTGAAAGGCCTCTGATGGGCGTGGTGAGTGAGCACAAGATTATTGCCCTTAGTGCCCCAGATTGTGTGATTTTTACCATCATTTCTTTGAATTTTTCACGATTTTAAATGAAGATCTCTAACTCCTTTGGGACCTTGATATTACTGCAGTGTGAGTTATTCCATTAAGAATATTTCAGACAGCGAACAGATGCTACCACTTTGAAAAACAACCCATTTTCATTAAAAACAAGGCAGAATCAAGCGATATGACCAAATCTCACTTGAAATATGTTAGGGAGACTTTTGACTTCCCTCTCGTGCAGTGCTCTTCCCTGTGAAAGGAGCCAGGTCAGTGTAACCCTCCAGGCTTCTCTCCACCCCCATTCTTCCCTAGGAAGTGGTTTAATCTGATGGGAGAGTTTGGAAGGAGGAACTGCCTGGTACCACCTTCTCCTCCTGTCTTCCTGAGTCCACAGGGCTTGCGCAGGGCGGTGCAGGTGGGCCTGTTCTGGCCCAGCCACCTATGGCTGAGAGGCATCTGTCTGTCTGATCACCTTACAGCAGCAGGTTGGGTATTGGGAAGCTCATTTGTCTGATGATATAAGCCACGTTCTCTAATATCAACGTTATTAGTAATAAAGGTTATTTTTGGTCATTATCTAGCTTACTGCTATCTTCTAATTTAGTTCCAAACTCACAGAGAAGGGGGAGGCCGCTATTTTGGGGCTTCCTCAAAGACCCCAACCTATTTACTAGGAGACTTCCTGGTGGTTAGAAAAAGGCTTGTATTGGGGTAGATCCTGGCTTCTAGATCCACTTCACTACTTTCTTATAGAACACCAGATTCCTTAGTAGGCAGATGAGTAGAGGGGGGTTTATAGAAGATGTTCCTTCCAGCTGAAATGTATCCATCCCAAACTTACGTATTGAATGTCTATTATGTGCCAGGGGGACAGTAGTGATCATCAGACACAGCTTTTGCTGTCACATAGTTTATGACCTAACTAAGGTTATCAGTTAGAAAGTTTAATGTTCCAGCTGACATAAAACAACCTCAACAGGCTTAAGCAATGAAGAAAGCATACCTGCTTATGATCCAGGCACAATTTGATCCAGGACTCAAACAACAGGGATCCATTTCTTGGCTCTGCTTCCCCTGGGTAGATTCATTCTTCTGTCACCATATGAGTCAACCCCTCCTCTCTCCTGGCAGCTTCAAACTTTCCACTACAGCAGCAGGAATAAGACACGTACTGCACCAGCTGAGAAGAGTCCAAGTCCCAATATTCCCTGCAAACTCCCAACGTCCACTCTGATTAGACCCGTTTAGGTCACAGGCCATCCCAAAAGTAATGATGGTGCTCAGTGTGAGAGGATCTGCTGATGGGCTTAAACTGAGGGGAGCCCACCCCTGGAAAGTTGGGCCCCTTCCACAAGACTCAGAAATTTGGGGACCTATAGGAAGAGAGAAGGGACAGCAGCCAAAAACTGTCCATGATGGAGGAAAAGGCAATAAATAAAAAGATAATTCTGCTCTGAGGGAACAGTCCAGCCTTCAGAAAACGCAGACATCCTGTTATGACCTGGTGAGTCAAACACATGCCTGAGATTCCAGAAATTTGGGTTCCATATTCTGTGCAGGGCGCCTATATACAACAGGCCCTTAGGAAGTTTCTGGAAGTTAATAGACTTTGCTGCATGACTGGGCCCCTGGGAAACTACCCTTGGGTTGGATCCTCCTGCTTTGTGATCCCTTTCTCTCTGTGGCAAGGAGGATACATGCGGCTGAGAGGGACACCAAAAGGGTAGCTGAGGTGACAGCCACAGAGCACCTGTCACTAACTAAACTCAAGCTACACTGGCCGGCGTTGGTTATTCTTTCAGACTTAAGGACGTTCAGCCTGTGGTTTAGGGACTGAACAGTAACCACCTTGGAGCAGATCAGCACTACAGGAGCTATGGGCCATGAAGATACACAAGCCTTCAGTGTTCTAAGTTTAAAATAATTGTGTGAAACAAGATATAACCCAAAGGAGTTGAAAATGGTCAGAAATGAAGTGAGACATGCAGGGTGGAGAGAGAGTGCTTCAGTTAAGTACCACAGCTAGTCCTCAAGAGGGTATGAGTGCTTGCCAAGCAATTCAAAAGTACCAGTGGGGCCTGAGCAATCCTTTAATTCTGCATTCAACAAGCGTTACTTCTATACAGGAAGCTATAGTGGAGACATCATCAGTGACAAGGCTGCCACTTAAATCCTTTTTAGAATAAAGAACGATCTCCATTTTCTTATAATAGGTAATTATTATAAGAAACTAGATTATTATATGCAAAGCTAAAATGAACTAAAGATTTACTATTATACCAGAAATAGAAGGTAAAACTAGTTTCATTTTGGGGTGGAAGTTGGAGGAGTGGGCCATGCCTGGATCTGAATGAATCTTCCATTAAGGCATAAACAGATATATAGGGGGGTTAAGTTGAAAGACTGCAATCAATTACACAGCCCTTTTTTTTTGGTCTCTCAAATAAATGTGACTCAGTCCTCCGAACACCTTACAGTAGCAGTTTATTTGCGCCCACCTTACTGCTCTTGTTATTCTGACTCCTATCACAGCCAATTATTTATTCACTCAATTATTTGGTCAGTCACTCAATGAACATTTCTGGTAAGTTTGGGGATATGCTCCAAGTGCTCTGTCACAGGCCGATACCAACCAGAGTGAGATATGGCCCCTACATTGTAGGAGTTCAGTCCAGTGAGGGAGGAGGCACATAAAAAGATAGTTATAATACAGCATGAGAGGTACTATAATTGACACATGTGCTCAGTGCTTGAAGGTGCGGCTGTCCCAAAGGATGTGACTCTTGAAGGATTTGAGTGGCTCTTGAAGATAACAGGAGTTTACTAGGCTGAAATTTCCAAGTATCTAGAAAATCCCTGAAGGAGGAGCCAGCATGTGTGGAAGGAGTAAGGAGTTTGGTATGGGGGGATCTTAAGGTATGCGGGAGAGTGTCAGAAGAGGAGGCTGAAAAGATAAGTGGGGTAAAAGGTAAGTCACACAGAGCCTTGTCGATCTTGCTATGGACTTTGGACTTTATTTTATAAATAAAATGGATTTGCTGAAGGACTTTAAGGAAAGGAGGGACAGTATTAGGTTTGGGCTTTAGGAAGACATTCTGGCAGCAGTTTGAAGGGTCAGCATGGCAGGGTGGGGATTGGAGGCAAAGAAATCAACAGGAAGGTTATTTCAATAATCTAGGTGAGAAGTGACAAGGTCTTGGTGGTTGAAAATGAGGGAACAGAGTGGATTCAAGGAAGAATTGAGAGACTGAATCAACAAGATGATGACTGCTTGATGGGAGATGATGAGGGAAAGGAAGAATGACTTAGAAGTCACCAGCCTGCACAGCTAAGGAATGAAGGATCCATTAACCATGGTAGGTAACAGAAGAACAGGTTTGGGAGGAAAGAAAATGACATACTAGGGAGGGATAAGGGGGGAAAAGGGGCTTTACGATTAGCACACATAATGTGGTGGGGGTACAGGGAAGGCAGTACAACACAGAGAAGACAAGTAGTGATTCTACAACATCTTATTATGCTGATGGACAGTGACTGTAATGGGGTATGTGGGGGGACTTGATAATGGGGGGAGTCTAGTAACCATAATGTCATTCATCTAATTGTACATTAATGATACCAAAAGAAAAAAGAAAAAGAAAAAATAAAATGACATACTGCACTTTAGATACCCACATGACATTCAGGTGGAAAAGCCCCACTGGCTATTAGAAACGTCTGTCTGGAGTTGATGAGAGAGAGATAGGGACTAAAGATTGACCAGGGGATAGGTAGGTGCTGATGCCATGGAATTAAATGGCACAAACCAGGCCACTAAAGGGTAAAGCTTTTGATGATGTGAATTTGATAATCCCCACAGCCCCTGGTACAATACTTTGGATAAAGCAGCCAGTACCTAAGTAAAAATCTATAGAAACACATATAGATGTACCAATTTGGAGCTTGCTAGTCATCTCAAATTTGGAGCCCCTGCAATTTTAAATACTTACCATAGGGTCAAATTGTCAATAAGAAGAGTACAACTAGCATACTAGTATTCAAAGAGATTCTAGCCTTCCACTAAATTCCATTAAAAAACTACTGCTATCACTTTGTATATTTCTTTGGTCTTCCAGAGAAGATACTATAAAATGAATAAGCTGGGGAAATACAATTTATCAGAATAGGGGAGGTCAGTAGCAGTTGCTGGAACATAGAAATCAGTGTCAATATGTTTGGCCTTTAGTAAAGTCATTCTGAGAGCAACTTCATGGTGTTTTAGGAACTAAGTAGTCTTCTTCAAATGTCATACACTGTTACAGTTCTTTTGCATTTACCCGTTCTTCCAACAAACACTGTTTGAGCACGTCATATATTCTAGACATTGTGTGAGGGACAAAACACATCTTCCCATCCCTCCAAGAGCACACATTCCAGTTGGGAACATAGACAAGGAATACAATTAAAATATACTGTGAAGTGCTATGATACAGGTAAGCACTGTGTGCAATTGGAGACAGAGAAGGTCAGCCCAACAGAGAGGAGAAAATGAGGACAGCAACATAGCTGGAGACGTTTTTTCAGAAGATACCATGAGCCAGGTGACACAGTGAGGGGATGAGATTCCAGATCAAAGGGAAATTAACTGTAAATTCAGGGGAGAATAAGTTCACTGTTGCTCAGCAAGAGATGAGCTGGGAGAGGTAGACAGGGGCCTTATTAGGCCCTTGTAAGCCTTCTATGGTGTCTGAACTTTTAGCCTGAACACCACAGAGAGCCACTGGAGGATTCTTATAGAGGACTTCATGGGGAAGTCTTTGGCTTTTGATTTTTTTTTCTTTGTTCCCATTCTCCCTTCTGTTTCTTTCTGTCTCTCTGTTTCGACTGCTCATCTTCTCTTCTTCCTTCCTGTAAGCTTTGGAAATTGCAGCTGATCTAGCCTATACCTCAAGGGCAAGGGATTTATTTATGCTTTGTCCATATTTGGGTTGGAGATAAAGGAGTTGCAGATTCCTGAGACCTGACTTTTGATGGCAGAAAGAAGCAAATAAGATCATCCCAGAAATAATTCATATCACCCAGAGACTCTCCTTCTACTCAAATCTGCACATGCTTGTGTTCACATTTAAACCAGGGGGGCTGTTACGTCCAAGGTGTGGACAGGTATCTTAACTGCAGAGAGGTCTACACTCTTGCAGTTAAGTCTCAACTTAAATGGAGTCTACACTCAAATGGGGTCTCTGGACCTGCAGAATCAGCATCGCCTGGAAGCTGGTTAGACAAACAGAATCTCAAGTTCCTCCCCAAACTTACTGAATCAGAATCTGAATTTTTAACAAGATGCCTGGGTAATTCCAATGCACATTCAAGTTTGAGAAGCCCTGGTCTATAAGATAGAAAAACTGCTTAGCTGGTAAACCATATGTCACCATGTTGTGATTCATGCTGTTATGCATGGTTCATTGATATGTGATCAGTTTTGTCAACCTCTATGATTTAGAATTTATGTCTAAAAGTAAACTCCATCAGGGATTGAACTATTTTTACTATACTGAACATTTCCAAGAAATCTTGGAGCCAGTGATGTTGAGATCCCTTTAAATAAAGGGCTTGCTCTCTGACTGATGGATGAAAGATACATTTTTTTCCTATTGTGGCAAAATATAAAGTTACCATTTTAACCATTTTACAGTATACAGTTCAGTGGCAACAAATACATTCACCATTGTTGAGCAACCATCACCAGCCACCCATCTCCAGAACTTGATTTCATCTTTCTAAACTGGAACTCTGTACCCATTAAACACTAACTTTCATTCTCCCCTCTTCCCCAGAACCTGACAACCACCATTCTACTTTCTGTCTCTATGTACTTGACTACTCCAGGTAGCTCACATAAGTGGAATCATACAATATTTGTCCTTTTGTGAGTAGCTGATTTCATTTAGCATAATGTCTTCAAGGTTCATTTATATTGTAGCTTATATCAGAATGCCCTTCCTTTTTAAGGATGAATAATATTTCATTGTGTGTATATACCATATTTTGTTTACCAGTCATGTCAGTGAACCCTTGGGTTGCTTTTATGTTTTAGCTGTTGTGAATAATGCTGCAATGAACATGGGTGTAGATTCATTCTTATAACCAGCATTCATGCCAGGCAAGTAGCTCCCCTCTTCTAGCTTATCCACATTATTTCCTAGAGATGTTCCACAATAAACATTATAAAATTCATAGGCAATGGATGTTCTCAATGAATTTTCTTTAAAATATCAAGTCTCTAGTTAACTCCTCTTTAAGAGAAGGGAATTTGCTGTTGCTGGGAGTGAAATATCTGTTCCATTTATAGTCTCTGGGAGCAATGGCCTCCTGAATATAAGCAGAGCCAAAGTCAAGACATTAATTTGTGGAGCTCAGGTGTTGATTTGGTGACACCATTCTCTTCCCTTGATGCTATTCCTATCAACCCAAATTAACTCTTTGAATATGAGAAGTTTTTCTGGGTGACCCAGGCAGCTGGTGACAAGCTGCTTGCTGTTAGGCTCTGAAAGAGATGAGCAGTCACTGCTCCTGGGCAATCCAGGCCCTTCTTGCCATAGTGTTGCTGGGCAAAGGAATTTGAGGCCAGGAAGTCAAGGCGCAGATACTTACCTGGGCAAACTGGGAGCTCCATCCTGATTTCAGCAATTCACAACAGGACTCAGGGGAAGGGAAGAGCCCCTGAGCTTACGGTGGAACTATTCTAAAAAATTATGTAAAAGATAGTATCTCCTCAAAATGATCATATTTTTCTTCCTTGCGGAGTCTCCAGGTTCCCTGTGCAGTTTCTGGAAGCTGGAGTCAGGGCCTCCTTATGTGCTCTCCCTCAGGCATCCAGCGGGGGCGCTCTTGCACTCCATTTCACACCCACCATTTCATCAGGGGACAAGACAACTCTGGATTATCAGGGACGTATGTGAAGAGGAGAGAGTTACAATTACACCATCTCATTTGAAAAATAAACACTGAAACTCTGAGCTTCATCTTCTGTGTAATCACTTTTGCTTTGCAAAACAAATCTAGACCTAAAGACGGGAAACATGCAAGTTCCTGATTTTCATGTTCATTCCTGGCCCTAAGGACGATTAACTTTATCTAGAAACTGAAAACATTCAGGCTAGTCATTTATGAGACCTGCTTAAGAGAAGACTTGCACTATGTTAGAAGTCCAGCCGTTTAGGAGAGTGCACATGTAAGGAATTTCCTTTTGCCAGATTATAAAAGAACTGGAGATCACAGCCAATGGCACAAGAAAGGAATGGGTGAGGATCTGCCTGTTTGAATCCAAAGGAAAAAAGTTTGCATACTGGTGAGCACATTCAAAGAATTCCCATGAGAACCATTAACTAAACCAAAATATATAACATGGTTATATGCATAAGTAGCCACAGCAACATATGATGTCCTGGAAGGATCCAGTGAAAGTCTAGGCACATGCATAAGATAAAAAATCTATAGGCCACTGCCTAGAATGTGTACTTTACCATTTCCCAAGTTTATCCTGATCTGTGCATTTGAAATGCACTTCCCTGTCTTCTCCCTCTCCATTAATATATGCTTATGAAAATCTTACCATTTATGGGAAGACTGCCCAGTATGACCATTCTTAACTATAATCATTTTTTTGCAACCTTTCAAAATGTGTGTTCTTGTATGTCTTGGGAAGCCTACAAGGCATTGATGGCATATTTCTCAATGGTCATTTTCGTGATGTTTTTTGCATGTGTGGTTTATGCTTCTAACCAGTCTATAAGCTCCTTGAGGTAGAGACTACTTTGAGGAAGAGGGTATTGTTTGTTTATTGCTGGCTTTTTTTTGGTCTTTTCTCTAGGGTATCCTAAGGCAGTGCTCCTCAAACTTTAACGTGCATGAGAATCAACAGGGGATCTTGTTAAATGGAGATGCTGGTTTAGCAGGAATGGGTTGGGCCCAAGATTCTGCATTTCTAACCAGCTCCCAGGTATTGGTGCTGGTTGGAAGACCACAATTCGGTAGCAAGTCCCTACAATACCCAGTATAGTGCTCCAACATAAACAGGTAAGACTTTAGAGTGGTAGTAGTTCCCAGGAAAATTCCTCTTCTGAGGCCTGACTCCTTTAAGTAAATGCTACCTCCCTATAAGGCCTTTTTCCCTTCTATCACTAGACTGTCCTCTAAACAAACCAAAGCCTGAGGGCATGATTTTATTATAGTGCAGGGGTTTAGATTTTTCTTAAAAATTTTTTTTTATTTTGCTATCATTAATCTACAATTACATGAGGAACATTATGTTTACTAGACTCCCCCCATCACCAAGTCCCCCCGACATACCCCATTACAGTCACTGTCCATCAGTGTA